CCCTGAAGAAATATCTGCTTTTGTTCTTCAAATTTAAAGAAACAACTCATCCATAAAACGGGAGTCAAAGAAATTAATATTCGTGCCGTGTTGTGCTGCCCCGTTTCGTTTAATGACGTACAAAAGGAAGCCACTTTAAGGGCTGCTCAATACGCTGGAATCGATGTCGTCAAATTAATCCCGGAACCAACTGCTGCCTTCTATTTCTATGGCATTCAAAAACACGCATTTAACATTGAAAATGATATCACCAAAAAAGATACAAAAGTGCCTACTCGATACCCTAAAATGCCAACTGAAATTAATGAAGGAATATTCTTGACCTTCGACTTTGGAGGAGGAACTTTGGACACAACCGTCGCTCAACTTAAAAATTCGAAGATTACGTTTTTGGCGGTGAACGGGGATCCGAAACTTGGAGGTATCGACATCGACTTAAAGTTGACAGAAATAGTCAAAATGAGGTGGAAAAAAGAAGATGAAAATAGATTCAATACTGTCTTTTTTGTTGGTAAGAAGCTCACTCCAAGCAACGAAAAGATATTAAAACGACGCGAATATAGACTTCGAAAATTAGTGGAAAAGGCGAAGATTGCTCTTTCAATAGCACAACAAAGTGTTGTTGATTTGTCAGAGTTTTATTGTGGAGTTGATATTGACGATGATGTTAAAACACCGAACATAGCAATTTCAAAAGAAGACATTGAAATTGGATGCAAAAATATTTTCCAGAGGTGTTTAAATCTTGTCGCACAAACACTTTTAGAATCCAAAGTGCCAAAGAACAAGTTGACTAAAATTCTGTTAGTAGGAGGCAGTTCACAAATGCCGTATGTGCAAACGCTACTTGAGAAAGAATACGGCAAAATAGTTTTAAAGGATTGCGACTGTAATGTAGTAGTGGCTGAAGGAGCTGCTCTATATTGTCGCAATATGGCACTTCATGGGGAAACAAATGTGAATGAAATTACATGTAACGAAATTGAAATGAGCGGAGTGGATAGTACTAACAAGAAGGTGGTGGTACCAATTATTGAAAAGGGAACAAAAATTCCTTTTAGTAACACGTTCCCCGTTTTTCCCATTAGAAATGACGTGATTGTCGAATTGTATGAAAACAAGAAGAAAATCGGCGTGTTCGTAATTGATAAGATTCAGAAAAAGACCAAAAATGAGTTGTTCGAATGCGAAGTTAAAATCAATACATTTGGTATTCTGGAGGTAAAATGTATCGGGGAAAACAGATGTGCAGTGAATGTTGACAGAGAGAGGATACAGACCGAATCCGAAGATATGAAAAAGAAAAAAGATTACATCGAGTCGTTCTTAAGTTGCTGAAAGTAAAGTCGAAGTGCATTACATTCATTTTTATTTTTTTTATAATAATTTATAATGTTTTACATTTCATCTACGGTTTATGATTTTCATATCGTAACATTAATTTTCTTCCATAGGTCTGAGCCAAGAAATTAAAAGAAAATGTAAGCGGTGCACAAACGGACTGTTTGAATGCGTTACAAAGTTTTTTTAATGCTCTGTATCACTCAGTCTTTATCGACTTGAGAAGACTACAAGTAAAAACATTGGTGTGAATTGCTATTTTAAACAACAATAAGTTGATGCAGTGTTTACTAACAACATACCAATGTTGTTGGCAAAATGTATTTTATTCATCAAATTATTTTTTAAATTTTAGAAAACATTTTTTTTTAGTTCGGTATGTTTGGTTTTAAAAAGTA